TGGGTTTGATTTGTTTTTTGTGAGGGTGAGAAATTTGTCATTTGTGGCATGAATAATGCGTCATTTGCTCTGCTATCAATAATGCGTCATTTCCTTATGAATATTCAATATACTTAGTTGATTATTTTTGTTTGGAGGGGGATTGGAAATTTATGAAATGTAGGTAAAAGATCCTAAACTTAGGCTTAATGGCATTAGAAGTAAGCATTTGGAGAGGATATTGGGTGAAGTTCTGTAATTGCTGGTTTGAATTACATTTGAGTTCTTAGTTGAACATGTTGGTTCTAATGTTATTTTTTCCAGATTATTTCACAAGAGATGACGTAACTATTATTAAATTTTGCTTGTGTTTTGTGTAATCAGAATCCAACAAGCTAGGCTATGCGTGTATTGTGTCAATTTAGGCAATGTTTCGTGTAAGTGAAATGTATTGATAAGTTGTGATGCAGTAATGATTGATTAATGAATTAACATTTGCTATGAAGTAATATAGAGGTAGATCAATAATATACGTGGATAAAATGTCTGGGGGCTCAGAGAGTGATGACTCTGTAACAGCTAATGGGAGGGTTTACATTCCTGAAGTAAGAAATGAGGAAACACCAGCAGTTGGGATGAAGTTCGACTCGCTTGACCTCGTTTATAATTTCTATAATAGATATGCATTCTTGGCTGGCTTTGGTATTCGACTTCATTCCAGCTTTTGGGGGAAAAATAAGAAAGAGATTCTGAGAAAAGAATTTGTATGTTGCAAACAAGGTGCATACTGGAAGGATGAAACTCGGGAGAGAAAAAGACAGCGGGAATAAGTAGATGCAATTGCAAAGCTAAGATTGTGGTTGTGAAGACACATGGGAGCAAGACGTATACCATCTCTCTTTTTGCAGAGGGACACAATCATAAGATGACACCCTCAGGAAGAATGCATTTACTGAGATCACACCGTCGTATTTCAGATTCTACAAAAGTACTTACAAAACAGTTGGGTTCGGTTAATATTCCCATTAATCAGAAGGTAAGTATTTTCGAGGTGCAATCCTGAGGAATGGATAAAATCGGTTTTATCAAAAAGGATATCTACAATCTTGAATGTAGTGTGAATGGGAAGCTGAGGAACCACGATGTTGAAGTAGTGACCGAGTATTTTATGACCGAGTATTTTAGTCGATGTTTTTGGGCAGATGCAACTTCTAGACGGGCGTACGGGTTTTATGGGGATGTTGTTGTGTTCGATTCCACATTCAACACGAATAGATATGACTTGACATTTGCACCAATGTTGGGAGTTAATAACCATGGTCAAACAATTCTCCTAGCATGCGCATTTTTGAGCAAGGAAACGACTGAGTGTTTATTTGGATGTTTGAGGAGTTTAAGAATGCCATGCTAGGTGGCGAACCTAAAACGATCATTACAGATCAAGATGCGGCAATGAGCAGAGCGATTTCAATAGCCTTCCCGACTACATTTCATCGACTTTGCATATGGCACATCACATCAAAGTTCTCTGTTAAATTACCACATTCTGCTTATAAGGAGTATTGGCGTGAATTCCAGAAAGCCATATGGGATACTGACAATAAGGATGAGTTTGATGCAAAATGGAATATTGTGGTTACAAAGGCTGGTTTGACTGACCATCCATGGCTAAGTTCAATGTTTGATTTAAGGGAATCTTGGGTTCCAACCTACGCACGACACTTTTTTGCCGCTGGAATGTCAAGCAGCCAAAGAGCGGAATGTTCCCATGGTTTCTTCAGGCAATACATATCAAGGAGAAATTCGTTGATGGATTTCACAATAAGATTTGAGAGGGCACTTTCTCATCAACGTCAAAAAGAGTTAGTTGCTGATCACGTAGATGCATTTGAAGCGGCTCAATGTATTCTACCGATGCCAATGAACAAACAAATGGCTATCTTGTACACAAGGACAATGTTTCAAAAGTTTGAGCAAGAACTAATACAGAGTACAGCATGTTTCCTAGAGCTGAAAACAGAGGATGCTTCTAAAGTTGTCTTTAATATGAGCGAAAAATTAGGAAACAAGAGTGGCAGAAGTCGTATATGTCAAAGATTCTGACCACGCATCGTGTAGCTGCAAAAGATTTGAATTTGTTGGAATTATTTGCAAGCACATCCTAGCATTGTTCAGAAGGGACCAGATTGAATATATGCCCGATAAATACATTTTGAAGAGGTGGAAGAAAACTGCGAAATTTGGATTGGTGTCAGATGCAAATGGCAACGAAATTAAAGACTCTGCAGATCCTGGTCTTTTAATAAAGCGGAGTACAATGTCCCGACTTGCTTCAGATGTGGTTGAGGATGCATTAATGTGTGAAGAAGGATGTGAGCTACTGTCAGAGACTCTAAAAAGTTTGCAGGTGAAGTTGAAGTTGTTGAAGGATGGACCAAGTAATAACGAAGTTGGAGGGTCCAGCTCTCAAACACAATATATGAAAGACCCTAAGAGAGTAAGGTGCAATGGAGGGTCGAAACGAGTAACGGGAGCAAAGGAAAAGGAGGATTAGACACTGTCGGGAGTGTGAACACATTGGTCATGATAGAAGACAATGCCCAAGAAATTTGAACACACCGTAAGATGTTAACACTATTTATAATAAGACCTAAAATTTGAATAGGTAAAGTTCTTATGTGCTTCTGTTTGATGTTTATGCAGGACATCACCGTCGAACAATGACGAATCAACTCCAATAGATCTTAGTGACCCATTATTTGACGAATTTTACAGGATGCACGGACCAACTCAATGATTTAGGTTTCTATTATACGAAGCCCGGTTATTATGAAGACTAATGATCAGGTGAAGTTTTCTAGATGCAGTTTTATTATTATTATTTTTTTGTTCATGTCCACCGATGAGCTCTTACTATGTCCATTGATAATTGAAATGAAAATTTGCTTGGTTTCATTCTTGCATGAAATTTGGACACATGTTAATTTTACGTCTTCTCCCTATTCAGAAATTTTCATAGACATTAAATAAAGCATCAAATTTTGATTTATGTGAATAAGCAATGACTTTTACCTTGTAAAATGGGTAGTTTATGGTGAATTATATTTTAACAGAGATTCATTGATTATATGACAGGCTAATGCAGCATTTCCAGCAGCCAGCTGTTGTTTTCATTACCAGTAATGATTTCCAACAGCACGCATCATTTCTAGCAGCACCCACTTTGTGCGAATGTTATATTCTAGTGTTTTACTGGTGATTAAGATCTGAGTTCGACTGGTTATTAGGTGCACGATTTTGCAAACATTCATAATTGAAGGGTACTTGAAGCACTTTGTTGGAACGTAAAGATTAGAAAGCAACGTGTAAAAAAGTACAATGCAGCTAATCACATTTCGAATGGTTGGATAATATTAAAGGGTACACTAACATTTGAACTACTCATAATTCCACACACAAAAGAAAATTTGATTGCAAAGCATTTTATGTGCTCCCTCTTAGCAATACCACGATCTCCCCAATCAACTGAACAACGGTAGCCACAATCACTAGGTCGTATTGGTCAGCTTCTTCTTAGCAGGTCTCACGTGCTTATGGTCACTCATGTCCCCAGTGATATAGACAAAATAAATATTCAGCAATATTTGGAATTTTATTATACATACATAAACCCTAAACCATTCACTAAACAATGTATAACACATGGTATTTTACTTATGACTCACGTGTCATGATAATGGGGCTTTACTGATTCCCAACGTGCTGTGATATTGACTGCTTATTGAATAA